CAATCGTTGAATCAAAGTTAAAGTAAAATCTCAGCTACGTCAAGCTGAGTTGGTCCGCTATTGAAAAGTTTTAGGCTTCGGCGAGAAACCAGGCCGGAATGAGACAATTGTACGTTCGTTCGATTTATTTGACTGCGCCATAATAAAATTTTCTGGTAAACAAGGTAATTATGCACAGTACATGTACAATTACATAAATAATAAAAGATATAATTTGAAGTGTGAAAAAAACGTGTGTTGTAAAACTAACAAAAACATTAACAGTCGACCGATGTTCGAATCATTCAAAATGTTGACTGGTATTTAATCAATACCGCAGGTTATAATGACATAATTATAAAAACAAATCAAAACAATGTTATCATCCCTTCTTGGTCTGTGGCGTTGTTGATGAAAATACTTTATAAGATTCAAAAGGTAGTTAAAAAGCTTATACGGTTTAAAAATATGGGAAGTTAGAATAGGTAGATGAGGTGAGGTTGAAACAAATTATCAATAACTGAGGGGAGGCGTTTACATTTTTCTGTACCGATCAATTTAACACCCTTTTCGCGCCAGATAGACCAGGTTAAGATCTTCCGGATTTACTTAACAATCTTCCCCTATTGCATCTACTAAAGAATCTCCACCCCTGTAAATAAAAACTGTAAACTCGCACTAGAGCTTTGTATTTAATTTCGGGTTTTGCTGCATTCTGATTGGTCGAAAATTTACTGCAAGTAATCTACTTAACAATCTCCTCCTTTCTTGAAAGGGTGGATATTGTTAAGTAGATCCAATTGTCCGCCCCAGATTTTAACTTTGAATGAATTTGCTAAGCGCTGCATGAAAATTCTCGATTCTGATCGGCTGAAAATTCTTAAATAAGAACCAATTTAACATCCTCCCCCCTAACGCCATCAAAGAGAGGGGGTGGTGGATTTCAACTTGGTCCAACTGTACAGTTGTTTTTATCTTGCTCGAAAAACTCATTTGTGTTAGTTTTGAGAGATTGGGACCAAAAACTAGTTGACTCACTTTTTGGTCAGCCTGGTCTGCCTCTGTATGCCTTAATCGCTTCCTTATTTTTGTTTACTGTTCATATTTGTTCTGAAATAATCAAAAGAAAATTGCCTTTTGTTGAATTGAGTTTTGGTTAGCAAAAAACATTGACAAACTAAAACAAAATCAATTTTATGATGAATCTCAAAAAACATTTTCACAATTTTTACCAATCGTTCAGAGAGATATTTGAAAAGGTTATTTATTAAGAAGAATCAGAAGAAAACAGCAGTAGCCTAGTTTGAATAAAAATCTAAAAAACTCCATCCTTGAATTCTTAGAAGCCAGTTTAGATTCGTTTTTTTTACTGGATTTAGAGCAAAAATGTTTACTCTACTAAAAATAAGTTTTGATCATACATTTGAACTAAGAGATTGTAAAAACTATCTAGTTTCTAGTTAAGAGAGATCAGTATATGACTCTGGGGGTGGACCAGGTAGCTCAGTTTTTGTGAGCATAGGATACCAATCAAACGAAAGTTGGCTCGCAACTCTTTAATCCCCGATTTTAACCTTGCTAGTTGAATGTTGCATGAGTATCAACAAAAGAATAAGCTAAGTTCATAAGTTCTAAGTTCGTTGGCTTAGAAAGGTAATGAACGCAGCATAACGCTAGAAAGTGAGGTTAAAATGATGCAAAACTTAGGAGTGTGTTAGAGCATTAAAATTGACTCTACTCTAAGAAAGTCGTGATCATATAGTAAAACTAAGAGATTGAAAAACATCTCTAGTTTCTAGTTAGGAGAGATCAGTATTTGACTCTCCGTGTGGACCAGGCAGCTCAGATAGTATGAGCGTAGGATTGCAATCATAAGATAGTGGGGTCGCAACTCAGCAGGTCCCGAATGTTTAACCTTGCCAGTTGAATGTTGTTAAAGTACCAACAAAAGATTAAGCTAAATTCATAAGTTCTAAGTTCGCTAGCTTCAACAGTGGCTTACATTTTATTTTAACATATTTTGTTCTTTTTTATTTTGTTTAAAAGACGTTTCTTTTTTCTTTTGCGTTCGTAGAACTTCGCAGGAATTTCAATTAATCGCCTGAAAAAAAATCGTCAAAAAATCTGAAACCCGCCGCTGGTTCACTTGATACGGAAATATACACAAAAAATGATGAAGTCTAGATTTTGGAAGGTTATACAGTTCTGACATGGAAATCAGATAATCTAATATCGAAGTAAGCAAGATAATCTGATAACTATAATTAAAATATTGCACGATTTCTCTGGTGGGCCTAATAGCAGTTGCGAAGTCTCTAAAAGCTCTATGTTAAGCCGCGAAAAACCTTGCTCATTTATGTTGAACGTTTGCTTATAATATTTGCCTTTCAAATCTGATACTGAACAAACCTAAACATAATTACAGCCACCGCTTTTCAATATTTGACCGCCCATGAACCCTTTTATTAACTTTTTTTTAGTTAATAAGTTTAATAGTTTTGAAATAAAATCTAATGTTGTTATTTTTTGTAACTAACTCAGTACTAACTTAATAAACCAAGTGTTATTAACTTAGTCTTTGAAATGAAACCAAAACAAATTTAAACTTCGATTTTGTAAACATCTTTATTCTCATACTCGTTTTCAATTTTTGTGGTGGAGTTGAATGTCCCCGGTTCACATTTCTTCACGTGCGCCCAGACCTTTAAATAAAAAGCAAAATTTTGAAAATTTTTTAGAAAGGGTTGGTAGTAGAATTGTATCGTGTCCCGGATCCTAAGGGGGGTCCTCACGTAAAGCAAAATCCTTGCAAAGGGATCCTCAATTTTTTGGAGAACCCTCATGCTAAGATTTTGTAAACGAAAGAAATTTTTCACACAAAAAGCAGAAGACCCCCTGCTTAAAATCTTGCTAAATTAAGCTTAACAACAAGATACACGATAAACAAAATTTTTTCTAATTCCAATTTTTGGGGATCCTACTTATTGGTTTTGGTTAATTAAATGAATCATAATAATTGTTATATTTGTTTCGGGCAAATGAACTTTCAACCTAGTTGAAATTTGTTAATGAAAGTGGAATTGACTTTTATAGTATATAATAAAAATTCGCCGGCGATTTTGGCAGCGTAGTTTATCTGTTGGCAGCAGTAAATTAATTCTGTAACTTTATTGTTTTATGGTGAAAAGGCAGTAAATTGAAATTACTCTCCAGAGGCGGCGGCCGTTTCTGGACAAAGAATACCAAATGTTAATTTTGTCAAATTTTGAAATAAGAAAAATGAAATTGGAGGGAACTTGGTGTACTGAAGATATTTATAATGAACATTTACAATTAGGAGTCTTTTCAATCACGGAAAAAATTTCATTTTGAAACTCTGTAATGAACGCTACGTCGTGTTTCTCGAAAGGGCAAAAAAGTTTCAAAAAAAGAATACGAGTTAATTTTCAAAGAACAAATTTATTTGAGTGAGCTTCAAAAAATCACTTGGTGCATTTCTCCAAAACAAAAGTATGGTACTGTGAGCGATCTAAGTATTGCTGATTAGGAAAACGTATTAGACAAATCCGTCTATGTTTCAAAAGCTATCGAAATACAAAAAACTTCCGGTGGTTCCTTTGATTATTTACCACCGATGCCTTAATGAGTCTAAATGGTATCTGCAAGGTCACTTTTATTTCCACTGGCTTGAAATTCAGGAAATTGAAGAGGTGTTGGAAAAAAATAAACAATGAAATTGCAAAAAAGTAAAGTAACTCCCATTGATTTAAAAATAATTCACAAACTTATACGTTTCATTTTTTCATCTTTAGAAGTCACCGAACTGAAAGACCCGTTGTGTTTTTTCTGTATTGATCAAAGTAGATTCATGAATTTGAAGAGGCATTTTAAAAATCATGAATTACAAGGTATCATGTACTTTATAAATTGTCTGCAAATTGAAGAGTTTGAACGCAACTTTCAAATTGATTCTTAAAGTTATGCAGAAATTCACACAAATTGCAAAAATTTTTGGCCTTAGCACTGTGCCCTGTGGCTTAGTGTTGCCCAAATTGACCTTTTGCTGTCAATTTTAAAAGCTTAAAGTTTTTGAGTCTCTCAACATTTTGGGAGTTGTTATCGAAATACCTTTTTTTCGAGCAGTTATTGAAAAGGAAAAAGGTCGGATATTAGGTTTTTCATCAACTCACTTTATTTATACATGGTTAACAAAGTCTATACGGTAAATTAAAGGTCTCCTTTTGAGCAGTTTTGTAGCTATTTTTATTTATTTTTTTTTCTGAATTTCCGTTAAAAACTTTTACATTTCATATATACTTTTTCTTGGTTGTATTCGAGCTTCCCACCACTTGTGAATTTGCAAAATAAAGCTGTTCAAAAATTGTTCACAGGGCTATTTGCATGCAAAAAAAATATTATAAAATTTTGCTCACCTGTTCACTCTCACACGTTTTAATGCAGTTTATGACATGAAAAGTCATTTTTAAAAAGTTTTTTATGTTTTGAATTTCAGAAAAAATATCACGAGGGAGAAGAACTGGCCGTCGTCAACCTATTTTCAACTTATGAATGGCAGTTTCAGAGCTGATTACTCTCTTAACGGACCAAATAGTAATTCGGATCCGAATTTTTTGATAATTTATCAAAGATAGGACTTTTTGGTTACGTACACGTGTCGACTTTATTCTGATGAAAACTTCATTTCTCATCTAGCATATACCAAGATTTACTATACATATGAAATTGTTTATGTTATTTTTTGAAGACGCGGACACCGGATCTTAATCAGAGTTGGTTGAACGGCCACTGAATTAAAAACGAGCTGACCTCGAAATGGGAAATGTTGAAAGTAACGGATGTCCTTGACAACCCGATCAAGAACAGAACCGATAACTTTGTTTTGATCTGATTACAAATCCAATAAAATTGTGATTCGAAGAACGTTCACATATTTTTTTCATTCTTGCTTTTTAGGTAACAGAAAAAAAAAATTTCAAGATAATAAAATTTATGTTTGCCGTTCACACACTTTTTTTGTACAGTTTATTCAAATCTCTATGAACATTTCTCCCCAAAATAGCCGATGTTGTAAACATGGCTGCTGTTAAACTTCCGGAAGCGCCACAAAAAACTGTGTCTTGGCCGGTCATGAATAAATTTTTGATTTCAGTTTTTGCTCGACATTGGATTGTGAAGTTTTCTGTAAACCGAGCCATGTTATGCTGAATGCCGTTGATTTGACCTTTGTGCATTTTCAGGTAATAGTTATGAGTCACTGGGGAGCCGACAATTAACAGTTTCCGTTTACCTTGCAAATACGGAAACACTTGCAAAATTCGTTTCCACATTTTTCTCGCGAATGCGTCTTTTAGTTTCTCGTAGTTTCGGTCAGCCTTGCGTTGCGGGCAGTTGTCCCAAATTTTGAACCACTCATATGGCGCTAGTGTCACCGCTACGCAAGTTTGCGAACCCTTCTTATTTGCCGAATTGATAGTCGCATCTTTAGCCGAAGGAAAAGTAACGAACATAACCGGAATCCCAAACTTTTCCAGGGCCTCGAATGGATCAGGCTCCGAAATCCAGGACTGGTAAAGCTCGTCGTAATTCGGGCCATTGAAAACCCAAAAGTTACGAGACGGCAAAATCAGTTCTTTATCGCCGCTGTCTAAGCCGACGAAAATGTTGAAATAACTTATGCTTGGCGATCCTTCTTCTAAAAGCCACTTTGCACTAGGACAGAAATCGTCTAATACGTAACGAGGCACGAGATCGAGATAAGTGTTGTGTAATCCGACACCCGAGACGATCAAGTCGGCTTCGTATTGAGCGGCAGTGTTCGTTCCGCTTCCATATTTAACAAGCACTCCATACGCTTCGAGGGAATCTTTTTTCGTCTTACGAACTAAAATTTCGCTCACGTTAGCCTTTGTGAAAAAATGACCCCCGTTTTTAATGATAGTTTGAGTCAAATAGAAGGGTAAAATTGAAGGCCCCCCTACGGGATAAAAGGCACCGTCTGATACAAAATGATCTGAAACTGTAGTTAGGGCATAAAGGGGCGTTTCGCCCGGAGGCGCTGCAATTCCTGCCCAGTTGTACAGTAAACACGCTCGTAAATCTTCGTTATCAGTCAAACTTTCAATAACTTGTTTTGCCGAAGTGTAAAAATACTTCTCTCTGTAACTTTTCGGGGGCAAAATCTTCAGCGAGACCAAAAATTGTGCGATCCATTTTGGCGCTGTTTTTAGAGCCCAGAAGTATATTTTCATGTACTTGATGAATCTAATCAGCTTAAGGTATTGATTGATGGCGTTTTCTTCATCTGGAAACAGTTCAAGCATGTGTTTCTTCCACTTATCGTATCCCCCATGGATGGAGAATCGTCTCAAGTCGTCGTGCTGACTTTGAAGATCTCCGAAGACTAGTTCGTCGAAACACGATTCCATCTTAGCCCAGGTGAGCTGGCCTTGAATTCTTTCCCAGTTGTATTTTTCAGTAACTTTGTTAATTTCATTTTCTCTTGATAATTTTTTCAGTTTGTTTTATTTTAACTGAAATGTACATTGTTTTGTTTGCGAGAATTTACACAACTGAAACAGTTTTGACATCCTTTAACAATATGAGAATCAGTTGATCCGACCAATTGATTCTCAATTTTTTATAGGATATCAAAACTGTTCCGCCTTGATAGTTGATAAACTTGGAGACTAAATTTTTCTTAGAAGCCTTCCTTTTTGTACCATTTTCACAATTTTCTCAAGACACTACTAAAACCGATTTTACTGATGTATTTCATGTCAACGATAGATTTTAAAAATTGCTCGGAAAAGTGGTCTGCCTGAAACTGGGAAAGAAGAGTGGTCTGTTGATGACCTTCGGTGAGTTGTTCGAGGAGTTTGAAGTTGGATGATGAGAATCCGAGGTTGCCGACGTAGTGGAGTCCCGTGTCGAACTCGAAGGGACCTTCAACGAAGGTGTGGCAGCTCCCTCCTACTTTTGCATGCTGTTCCAACACCAAAACTGAACGACCTGGAATGATTTAAAATTGGATTAACGTTTTTAACAAAATCAATTCCAAACGCAGAGCTCCGGAATTTAACAAACTGGAAAAATTGGAACATAAAAGCAACTCCTCAACTGCTGTGGACCGTTTACAGCCTATAACTTTGAAAGCAAAAAAACTTGAATCTCACGCCTGAAAAAATATATGTTTAAAAATATTGAGATATATCGGAAGAAGTCGCAAAGAACCTTTGCTTCAATACAGAATTATGAAACATATAACTGATGTTTTCCATATGTTCAAGAGATCAACATCAAATATGCTTTCCTTGTCTTTTCCTATGTTGTTTAGAAATAGCTTGTAACGTACATTATGTTCAAAAAATGACTTCAGTTTTGTTAGTTCTCAAACTATTTCATTCGCTCAACTATGTCCACCTGTTTTGGCCAGCATGGCAGCTGTGGTGAGTGATCCCAGTCCAGATCCAATGCAGATGACATCGAAGTGTCGAGGCACCTTGTCCAAATTGGAGCCGCGCAGATGATGTCGCAACATCTTTCGTTTTTCTTTCGAAGACCTGTAAAAAAACACTTTTTTGAAAATAATCTTTTGAAAGGGGTTTACAGGAATCATATGTTTGTATTCCAAATATTTTAGAGATAATGAAAAATTTCAGTTTTTTTGTTGAAGCGTTTTGATAAGTCATCAGTTGTATTCAAGCGGCTGTTTATTTTTTTAAGCTTTATTTCTGTGATTTGTTTTCGTGTAGAAATTCTACATGAAAACAAATCACAAAAATAAACCTTAAAAAAATAAACAGCCGCTTGAATACAACTGATGACTTATCAAAACGCTTCAACAAAAAAACTGAAATTTTTCATTATCAAAAAATATATAAAATTTGAGTTTCAATCTGATAAACACTCAGCTATTCGATACATTTATTTCTTTTGTTTAATCATTTATTTTTTATAATTAACTTATATGCTCTCACCTTTTGCCAGTTGCGGGCGGATGGGATCTTAAGAACTCTCGGAAGGGGTTGTCCCGCTCATCTCCTCTGAACACTAGGTAGAGGATCAAAGCCACTCCGGAGCCACTTGCCGCAACAGCTGTGGCAATCAGCAGTTCTAAGACGAAAACAAAAACAGAATGAAATGATGACAATTTATTATGATTAGTTAGTATTGTGACAAACATTCAGTAAATTCTAAACTTCAAAACACTTTGAAATTTTTGTTTACCTTCTCAATATATGGATATGGCTAGGCTCTTTTTCCTTTTCCCCCCCCCCCCACCTGCAAATTTTTATATTTAAAGTTACTGTTCGCTTCTTCCGATTGTCATGAAAATTGACATGAAGACTAATTAGGCCATGACAAACATATTTGGTCTTCATAATTAACCTTGTCGTTAGAGCATAAAATTCATGTTTGAGTGAGGTGGGGGGGGGGGGGGGGGGGAGGAAAAAGAGCCTATGGCTATTTTACCGCCCCTCCCCCAAAATCTTTGATGAAACTAGTTTTTTGAATCAACTATTGTATTTACTAGCTTATAGATAGATAATGCCAAATGCGTTTGGAATTGGCTTGTTGGCATACATGCCAGATGTCAAAACAACCTGGCACTGTCAACCTAAGTTTCATTTAGTAAAAGTACAAGCTGAATAGGGGATGGTATAAGAGGGGAGCTGATATAATATATGCTTCGGAAAAATTTTTACTTAATCTTTGCAAGGAAACCAACTTTTAGAAGGATCTTTTTTTGGTGGAATAACCAAATTTGAAAATTGATCAAAATAATCAGGTTAAAAATTGCTTTCCTCGAAACTTTCGGCTCTTTTTCCTTTTTCCCCCACCTCACTTGAGCATCAACTTTATGGTGTAACGCGTGGTTTTACAAAGTTAATTATGAAGACCAAATATGTTTGTCATGGCCTAATTAGTCTGCGTGTAAATTTTCATGACAATCAGATAAAGTGAACAATAACTTCAAATAAAAAAATTTGCAGGTGGGGGGAAAAGGAAAAAGAGCCAAGCTTTCTTCTGTTATTTAGTGACAACTCCACCAATGTCTAAACACTTCAAACAAATGACATATTTTTATATACAATTTAATTTCGCTTAAGCTTTTTTTTGCATTTCCGCTAAAATCAAGAAATGAATAGGCGGAGAAAAATGTTTTATTAAAAAAATTTCTCTTTTAAATCAGTAGCCTATCGGCATAGTATAAAAGGAAAAAAATGTTTTTAATAAGACATTTTTCTCATCCAATTTTTTTTTTGGTTTGAGCGGAAATACTATTTTATTAAAGTTTGAGCAAACAAAATGAATAAAAAGCTCTTTTTCCTACCCCCCCCCCTCCCGTTCCCCAACTTACATAAGCATCAGTTTCATGGTGTAACCAGGGGTTTTAGAACGTTAAGTATGACAATCAAATATGTAAGTCAGGGCCTAATTAGATAATTAGTCAGCAGGCCATTTTTGTAACAATGGGACAAGGCGAACAGTAAATCGTAGGTGTAGGAAAAAGGGAAAAGCGCCGAATAAAAAATGTCGTTTGCTTCGAATCTGAGACACATCATATCATTTAATTTTTCGAGACTTAAAAAGCTATACCCTGCCTAGACGATTAATGGAGGTTATCTTGCAAGATCTTGCAAGAATCTTGCAAGAATCTTGCAAAAATTCTTTATAGAAGATGCATAGCTTTAAAATATCTTAATATCTTGCAAGGGATGTACGTTGATGTAAGTCTGGATGTAAGTCTGGATGATTTACGTAGTGGTAAACTGAATTACAAAACGGAATATATCGCTTTGTCGAAGGCTATGGTACTCACTATTTCTGGACATTACTATGGATTCTTGGGTGTGGTGGTTACCGTTTCCTTAGGTGTCTCTGTTTCTGTTGAAAACAAAGATTTGAACTGTTAAACTAAATTTTCTAAAAGTATCCATTTGTCATATGTCTCTTCGTACACGTGCAAAATAAGCACTGCAGTGCAATTAGCCTCTCTAAGTATCGGAAAAAAATTTGGTCAAAAAATTAATGTTGATTATAACTATTTTTGGAAAACGATATTTCACACTATTCGCCCGCATCCGGTATAAAAAAATCTGTTCTTTACCCCCCCCCCACCCCACCTGAAACGAGCATCATTTTTTCGGTGCAACGAGTGGTTTTACAAGAATAATTACGAAGCCCAGCAAATATGTTTTTCAAGGCTTAATTAATCCGCATCACAATTTTCATAACAATCGGACAATTCGAAGAAAAATTTTGCTCATTGCGAGGCCAAACTGTGCAGTGGATGGGCGCGCACAATTTTGTGTCTGTATGTTCCTGGATTTCAGAGACAAATCTTTAAACATGTTCCAAAATGTAAGTGGATCCAGCTTACAAAATTTCTGTGGATTCTGCGCACAAATACTTGTAGCGAAAATTTTGTCGGCACATTGATTTTGTTGCGGTTTCCGCAACGAGCGAATATAGGTAGTTGTTCTGGATTCCCCAAATGTAAACGGATTCCGCAAATATAAGTAGATTCCGCAATATTTGTAGGTGTAGGGACTCCGCCTACAGTTTGCGGACTCCGCCTACAGTTTGCGGATTCCGCTTACAATTTGCGGAACCCGCTTATATTTTGCGGATTTTGATTACAATTTGCGGATTCCACTGACAGTTGCGGATTCCGCGACAGCTTAAGTTTACTAAACACATATTATTATTGATCATGGATTCCATAAACTGGTTCCGGATTCCACACATTTTGTTTTTGGAGCAATTTTGAGCAATACAGTTTTTTAGCTATTTGTCTGTGGAATCCAAAACAGCAGAGAAGATCAAAGAAAAATTGCAATATTGCGGATTCAGTGACCAATCTGATTTTTGCCTATTGCGGAATCCGCTTACAATTCACAAAATGCACAGTTTGGCTGGCCTCGTAATGCTTGTAAAAATGTGCAGGCAAAAAGAAAAAGGCAAAGAGCCAAAAAACTATAAAATTGGTATTCGTCTGAATTGGAGCGAAGTAGGGGGGGGGGGGGGGGGGTATTGATTTATTTGAAAAATAGGGTAGCAGAAATAGGGTATTGGTTGTTTTGTTCACATTGTTCAATTGAAATGAATTTTATTATTATACGGACTGACTAGACTATGACAAACAAATTCGTCCACATAATAAACCGTATAAAATCACTCGTTACACAAAAAATTTCACATTTGTGTGATGTGGGGGGAAGGAAAAAGAGCCACCAGGGTATTTGTAATGGTCCGGGAGAGCTCAGGAACCACTTTCTTCCAAAAACTTCAAAAAAAATTTAAAAACTCCATCCCTTCCTCCCTCCAGAGAAAGTCCTAGAACCGCGGGGAAAATAGCAAAAAATAAAAAATAAAGCAAGCCCGAATACAAGTTCCTCCCTGTTGTCAATGGTCGGAACAAAAACTTAAGCACAGAACAGTTCCTCTGATTATCACAAACTGAAGTAATCCCTCCCTTTCTCTAGAGAAAGTCCTAAAACCGCCAAAGTGGAACCAGCCCAAAACAAATATTTATTATTTATTTTAACTTATTATAATCTTGATAAACTATCTCTGTAAAATACTTAGAACTAACCAATCATGATCCATAATTAACTCTTACAATAATTTGTAAGGCTGAAACTATTTATAGTTTCAGCCAGAACAGAATAAATTTAACTTAGCAAACAGTTGCTCTTCTCAGACAATTCCTGATATCTAGTATCGCAAATACCAGTATACACTAGATCTATCGAGACTAGGAGATATAATACTAAGATTAAGATCGGTATTAGACTAAGATGTTGCACGAATCTATCCAGCCGAAAATAAGATAGCGTGACGAGCAGACGGTGTACCCTATCCAAAATTACTCTATGAGTGAGCCACCTTGGACTTAAACTCAAAAATCTGCTGGGTGGAATTGATTAATTGAATTCCCTCTCGATATTACCAGTTGCAAACTTCTGGTTAATAATTTTTTTGGTATATCAATATAATTCGTCACAAGCGATGATCTATTTCAATTAAAAAATTCAAAAAATTGTGTTTTCTTGCAAGCAGCACAGAAAGTTCAGACCACAGAAACCAAAAAAAACCGTGTGTGTGTGTGTGTGGCAATTGACTATAAAATCGAAATAGAAAAAAAATTATGATCGTTTTTTCGAAGTTACTCTTTGTAAAGAATTTTGGATTTGTTTCGATTTTGTTCAGGAAAAATGTTAAATTAAACATCAAAAAATGCTGATTTTAGCTAGTTCTTTAGTTTATAACTAATATTTGTTTCACGTTCTTTGAAATATTGCTAGAAAAATTGCTCAAAAATGAACTAACTAAATGATTGAAGAGAAACTATTGTCGTTCAATAACTGAAACAAAAAGAGTGATCGGTGTAAGGCAAATCGCGCTCCAATGATTCGACTATTTTTCATTGGCTGATGTATATTTTGACAAAAAATTTTAAACGTGTTGATATATTCAATATAAATTATATCTGAGCAGTATTATTTTGCCATTTGAGTTTTAATAAAACGAACTCTATCGCTCGTTAACTATTCTTAGTTTTCTTCATTGGCATTTTCAAATCCCCATAATTTTACAGAAAAGGGTCTCATGCCCCCCCCCCCAAGAGTTTTTACTCCCTAGTCCTCCAAACTGTTACCCCTCTGATACTATCTTAAGACATCTACTTTCATACAAACAGTACATAAATTTTCTAAAGGCGCTTTCGGTACCAATATATACTTTTTTTGAAGGATACGCATCGAAAAGAAAACGCAAATTTCAGGTTCTCTCAAAACATGGTAAAAACGGCTTTTTGGCTTGTTTTTTTTTCATAATTTGGTCCGCACGGTTATTTTTAGAGGGATCGACAAATCAATTTGGTTGAACTAGAAAAAAATTCAAACGTATCATAATTTTTCAAACTAGTTTCGAGTCTCCAGCATCAACTAAAGAGACTAATGATTTTTAATTCTATAACCGATATCAAGGTACCTCATTGACCATATGAAAACTGTGACCGCTCGATTATAAATTTTTAATGAAAAATCCAGTAGTCAGACATGCCAATCCTTATATGATGAATGATAAACGTTCTTTTTGTAGAACGCTGCGCTTATAACAAAAAAAATAAAGCGTCGAGCGCATCTGAAACAAAACCGGGCGTATCTGTAACATAGATCAAACAAAAAAAGTCCCCTCTAAGTTAAGGCTACAACTTGACATTTGAAGGTCAAAATGGGGTGTTAAACAGAGGAAATTATTTTTGAAGCTTGCTCATTATGATATGCTCAAGAATATAACGATATGATGAAATTACGGAATTAATTGTTAATAACTTCATTAGAATCATCAATCAAAAACTGATGTTTTTTTGAAAGAAACCAGTTTTGCAAATGATATTTAAAAGTTTTTAAAGCGTCTTTATCATTTTTAAGCAGATGCAGTTGACGCTAATGCCCAGCTGGCTTAGCTGATAGTATGCCTAATTGATGGATTTAAGATGTCAGAGTTTTTGAACAGCTTTTTTTTTTACTCGAAGAGTAAATTTGCACTGATTTTTGAATGAGGCTATCTTTTAGTTTCAGGCCCATGCGAGGCCGGATTTGTGAATAGTTGAATGTTTGCATGAACAGCTTTAGTTCGATCTTAAATCAATAAACCGATCAATAAAATTGAGAGGGGATTGAGTCGAGTGCTCAAATAAAGTCATCTGCAAAAAATGGATCAAAAATTTTTATCAAGCTTTCCTAAAGTCTGAGATTTGATTTTGCATTGCTTTTTGCAATGTCGACCGCTTTCATTGCAAAAGTGTTTATACACCCAAGGGTATTTCTTTTAACTAAAACTTCGTAGACTTTTGACCTAAGACTAGATTAAAAGACAATTAGGGTTAAGATAAGATACTAAGCTAACAACAGATGTGAAACTCAGACTAAGCGGTTGAGCTATGATTAGTTTCAAAAGATCAATGAACAATGTCACCATGAGTTCTAATGGCAATGCGCCTTTGGCAGGTACTTCAATAAAACTTAAGCACCAAAACAAGACTAGAGGTAAGTACGTACATTTCACATACCTTTGGGTAATAACAGGATGGAACTTAAAAAATAATTGAAATCGAAGTGAATTTTTTTGCAATCAAGCTTGCGTCCATAGTAAAAAAATGGTTTATTTGTAGCGAAGTAATTATTTGTATTTTTGTAATTATTTAATTTTTTAAGTTTAATACAACGAACATTTGCTAGTAAACACTACAACTGTTCGTTCAAATGAAAAATAAATCAAGTCTCATACGAGAATGAGGATGATGAGTCTGGTTAATAAAAATGAGTAAGATATTCGTGACAACCAAAACTTAAGATCGTTTATTAGTTGGATCCGAAAACTTTTCGACTTAGACAAGAGAGGAGAAAACGAATACTAAAATTCTTGGAACTTTTTTGAGGTGAGTTTCAACTTTTCAGTTTCTATGTGGCATCTCGTTTAGTTGCCTTAAAAGCGGTCCAGCGTCTAAGCCCCTCCAGAGTCATTGAGCGTATATTGCTTCAATAACTGACGTGGTGTTTATCCAGCCAGCAATATTCAGAACTGATTGTTCATTGGGAGTGCCCGTCGGGTCAGACTGGTATTCTTGAACTCTCGGGTTGAATTTAACTTTTCATGGAGAAAAGGTAGGCGAGTTTATGAAGAATATTATCATTTTGCCCACTAGGTCTCTCAAATCGAATTTGAGGTGGCGAAAATCGCATGTCTCGAATGTGATGATTCAGGAGTAGTAAGGTTTATAAAAGAAACTGGTTCGAAGGGGTCTTGTTTTGTGTCTGATGTA